TGGGATTGTCCTGTATTCCTATTCACTGCAAAACCACTGCCACTGCCAGAGGGAAAGAACGTGAATTGTTGCTGCCATGGAAGAAGCCAAGGCATTTTGTGAGAGGTAGTCTGAACAAAAAACATCTCTGTGACAAGTGTTTGCAAACACATGCTACGCGTGCTAGCGTAGGGAGCACCTCACTGATTGCTGTCAGCCTCTTTCCGCTTTTTTTCTAAAGTCCTGGGGAGTCTGTTGCCTGCCTGGCACGTGCTTTTGTGACTTCCTTGAACTGGTAAGTAGAATGTAACTGTTCTTCTTAAGCTTAACTATTTCTTGTCCCCTGAGTTTACTAAGAATAAAGCATTATGAACCTAATGAAATATGGGAACCACTTAGACATTAACTAAATGCTTGGTTAAATAAATCAAATATGCCAAAAATTTTGGGCACACGAGAGACAGATAGACAGATAAACAGACAGGATAGATACAGGCCTGTCAGCCTGGCCTTGGTTCCCCGCAAGGTTATGAAGCAGATCATCTTGAGTGCAATCACATGGGACATACACAGGGTCAGCATGGGTTTAGGAAATGCAGGTCCTGTCTGACCAACCTGACCTTCTTTTATGATCAGGTGACCTGCCTGGTGGATGGGGGGAAGGCTGTGGATGTGGTCTATCTGGACTTCAGCAAAGCCTTTGACACCGTCTCCCACAGCATTCTCCTGGAAAAGCTGGCAGCCCACGGCTTGGACAGGGGCACTCTGTGCTGGGTTAGGAACTGGCTGGAGGGCCGGGCCCAGAGAGTGGTGGTGAACGGGGCTGCATCCAGTTGATGTCTGCTCATTAGTGGGTCCCCCAGGGAACAACTTTGGGCCCAGTCCTGTTTAATATCTTCACTGATGATCTGGATGAGGGGACTGAGTCTATCATTAGCAAATTTGCAGATGACACCAAGTTGGGGGGGAGCATTGATCTGCTGGAAGGCAGGAGGGCTCTGCAGAGAGACCTGGACAGACTGGAGAGTGGAGCTGATTCCAATAGGAGGAGGTTCACCAAGGCCAAGTGCAGGGTCCTGCACTTTGGCCACAACAACCCCATGCAGCGCTACAGGGTGGGGAAAGAGTGGCTGGAAAGCTGCCCATCAGCAGAGGACCTCAGGGTGCTGGTCAACAGCTGGCTGAGCATGAGCCAGCAGTGCGCCCAGGTGGCCAAGAAGGCCACTGGCATTGTGGCTTGTGTCAGAAATACTGTGGCCAGCAGGACCAGGGAAGTGATTCTTTGCCTTTCCTTGACGCTGCCGTGTCAAGCTCTAGGCTGCACCTAGAAGGTCGTGTCCACTTCTGGGCCACTCAGTTCAGGAAGGATGTTTGAGGTGCTGGAGCAGGTCCAGAGAAGGGCAACAAAGCTGGTGAAGAGTCTGGAGAACAAGTCCTGTGAGGAGCAGCTGAAGGAGCTGGGGTTGTTTAGCCTGGAGAAAAGGAGGCTCAGTGGTAACCTTATTCTCTACAATTACCTGAAAGGAGGTTGTAGCCAGGTGGGGGTCGGTCTTTTCTCCCAGGCAACCACCAGTAGGACAAGAGGACAGAGTCTTAAGCTGCACCGGGGGAGGTTTAGGTTAGACATTAGGAAGAAATTCTTCCCAGAAAGGGTGACTAGAGAGTGGAATGGTCTGCCCAAGGAGGTGGTGGAGTCACTGTCCCTAGCAGTGTCTAAGGAAATGCTGGATGTGGCACTTCATGCCATGGTCTAGCTGGCATGGTGGTGTTCAGTCATAGATCAGACTGAATAATCTGAGAGGTTTTTTCCAACCTAATTGATTCTATGATTCTGTGCTTCTGTGTGATTCTGTGATAGACAGACAGGATAGAGAGGAGGACACATCAGATACATTAATATAAGCAAATCATCGCAAGAAATCTCTGACAATTTACAACATTTTAGGAAACAATAACTCGTGCCATGCAGAATGAGAAGTTGTTTGTCCTACTGGCCTTCACCAGAAAATTGCCTTGCAGCTTCAACAACTGAGAGTATCCATATGGGTAGTTCTGTGTAACAACTAACTAACAGTGTGCATTCATATCTCATGGTATCTTGTCCATGCACCCACATTCTGAGAATGAGTTCACGCTTCACATAACTGGAGTTGAAAAGGCCCAATCTAGCTTAGTCACATGATGCTGAAGTGTTTCTCTCAGTGAGCACACTGAAGACAATACTGAATTTTAAAAATCCGAAAGTAACATCAGGAATTTTAAAAGTGAGAAATGAGACTGGAGCAGCTCATACAAAGCTGGAAAGTATTCTAAACTTTACCTTCCAAATGAAATAAAAATGTTCCTCAGTTAAAAACTACTTTTGAAAGCATTTTTAGTTAATCAATAGAGAAGCTAGAAACAGGCAAATTATCTTGTCTATTCACAAGTTACATTCCACTGCAACACAGAAAACCAAATGTGATATGTCCTCTTAGAAAATTTCTTTGTTCAATAAAAATAGTTTTGTGGTTTTGTATGGAAACTATAAATACTATGAAAAGCCTGAGCTGTTTCTTTATTAGTATAAGCCCTAATTTTCTTACAAAGAACCTGTTCTTTGCATAACTGACAGGAATACCAAATCACCTTGTCCCCAAAAGGATCTCATATCTCGGTATGACTCGGACAAAAACACAGTAATATATTTCTTTTGGGGGGAGCAGAATACCTCTGTGCCCCAGCCCATCTATTTCTCAGAAAAAAGCTTCTCCTCACGTCTTTCTGTAAATCAAACTTGGGGCACTCAGAAAACATTTTCTTTATAGCTTGTATACAGTCTGTTAATCCCTGACTACATGCTCTTCAACATTTGCTATTTTGCTTGTGCATAACAGAAATTTTCTTTTGGTTATTTATGGCTAGTAATGGAAATGATCATTCAGGAAATATCTACACTTTGTTTGATGTTATGACATCTCCCGGATTTGTGCCACACAGTGCTGAGGATTTTAATCAAATCAGAATTACTTGAGAGAACTTATCTTCGTTGCGAACAGAAGCATATATGTGAAGTCCATCTATCCAGGAGAAATTTTAATGGTTTTATGGTTTTCCAAACCAGAGCAAATGTATACCCATAATACACTGATTTCCCCATCAGGGTCTGCCTGTGGCCTATACTCAGCAAACAGCTAAAACAAATATTTTCATGAAGAGCATAGCTGCAGGAGTGCTTTCTACGAGATGTATTAGCTCATTTCTCTCAGAAACACAAAATTAGCTACAAAAAGACTGTAAATTCAGTAGATGCTTTTTCTGCATAGTCCTCCACAAATCCACTTATCCTCAGATCCTTTTGTGAAGTATTTATCTTTGTTTCTCAGTTCTTTCAGATCGTTTGCCAAATCATTGGACAAGTGAACTGCCACAAAGTACTATGTGAATGCTTTAATACAGAATGGATATTTTCAACTCAAATGGAAGAACACTGGAAAACTACTGCATGGAAGCATGTTAGTTTAGGCATGGTATCATACTAACATGCTTACTGGGCTTTTGATTTAGAGTTAGATCAAATACAATCAGCACAAAATGTAGACAAGGCAAGCTTGGGTTTATCTGTAACTGTCCATACTCTAAATCTGTTTATTAAATTTTAATTAACAAAGTAAATAATAACATTTTAAAGAAATCTGTTATCTAAGTCTTTCAGTTTTAGGATTTCTTAAATAACAGGTGGCTTGAATGAACTAATTAAATAATGGATGTAAGTAAAATTGAAAGTAAAATCAAGAAACAGAGTATTTGAAACCTAGAGTTCTTGCACTTCAGTCGTAAACAAATACTGCTCGCTCTAATAAATATTAGTAGGAGAATACAACATCTCACGTTATTCTTAACGTGTGTCACTCTCTCCATTGACTAATGTGGAATTTTAAAGCCAGAAGTTATATTCAAGTGTCAAGAGCTCTTACTAATATACTGGCCAAATGCCATGATGTACTGAACAAGGTTTATGTTTTCAGATGAGACACCTTAGGCTTTTCTCAGCTAAATCTATGCATTTAGCTGCAAAGCATACAGTTCCTAGCCAATCTGCAGCAAAATCTCATCACTGAACAGAGGGACATAGACCTGCTGTACAGTAGGAGCTTCTGAACACAGAAGCCTACATGACAAGAAGAAGGAATCACGTGGGTTTTTTGTAGGTCTTTGTTTTTTAGAAAAAGTATTTTTAACATGGATAATACATCAATTAAGAGGAGTTAAAATACAAGTATGTAAATAAATAAATCAATAAAAGTATTTTCCAACAGTGAGAAGGGAAGGCATTTGGGTACAATTTAGCAATTATAAAACGCTGTCTTATCATTAAGTTATAGGATCCTCACTCAGAGAGGAGGGAGGATCCATTTTTTTGTGGGAACAAAAACATTGATTTGTATATGTGACATTTTGGGTTTGGTTTCAGGGATATTTTTTTTTTTGGTGGGGGAAAGGAAGGGATTGCATTCAGTCATTTTTATTCCCTGATGACTTCGACACATAGCAACCATCTGTTCAGCTAGTTCAATCCCAAACATGTTTTCAGAGCAATGAAAAAATTACAAAATGAATAGACAAAAGATGTAACATATTTTCTGGCAAACCTATCTTTGAAAACTTTTGTTACTAAGGCAAAGAACATTTTTGTAAGGTGAAGTTACAGATTTTACCTTTGCTTTTCTGGTACAAATAGTACAGTTTGTAATGAAAAAGCATGTGGAAAGGATTCGGCTACATAAATAATATAATTTCAAGGGTGCCGTTAGCTCTAGTTATTAGAGGATTTACAGGAAAACTGCTTTATTTCTTGAAGCTAATACAAGCATCAAATTAAAAAAACCAGTTTAGACTGTTAATAGGAGTAAAGATTTCCAAAGGAAAAAAGAGCCAATTAAAAATTAACCCAGGTGCAGCAGTGCAGTAACATCCTTATGGATTTATTTAACAGGATTGCTTCTGCAGGAAGAGGTGTTCAGTCATTTACAATATGGCATGCAAACACCAAGCTTCATGTTAATATGAGAGGTAGCGATGGCACATTAATGTATTTTGCTTTCTAAACAAATACCATAACTTAATGTGGCTTTTTATATCTTAAAAAAATTGAGAGTTGAATGAGAACAGTCGCAGGGGTCACTTCTGACCTTTATTACTCCATAACTCTCTGAAACATGCTCCTTGACTAGAGGCTGTGAAAATACTTCCAATGAGATGAAATGGGATGATTAACAGGAAGCAGTTTAAAGATAAGACTGGGAGAAGTACAGAGAATTTCTTGCTAAAATAGCAGGGAACTGCTTAGCTGTAAAGGCGAGAAGGGAAGAAAACTGGAAAGAGATGAGACATCATCATCCCAAGGTAAGTAACTGTTCCATCTGCTGTAGGACAGGAGAGAATTAATCATCTGGTCTGATGCAAGGAGTTATAGGGGAGACCTCTTCAGCACCTATTAGAAAACTCTTGGTTGGATAAATGAGCAGAGGCTGAGATAAACAGAAAAGAAAACAAATACACAAAAGCAAAGGGAACTTCTTCTTTGAGGGGAGAAAGGGGAATGGGTTGGAATGGAATGGAATGTCAGAGAGTGGGAGTGGAGTAGAATGGGATATGAATGTTGAGAAGAGAGAATGTTGACCAGTAAAGGTAGGAGAAGGAATGTAGGTGATGCGAAACCTACTTGCGCTGTCAAATGTAGTGAAATACCAGGTATGTTTTGGCTTACTTGTCAAACACTCACAGAAAACAGGGTGACTTTTAAGCCTCCTAAAGGATAATAAATGCTGCGGTGTTTTGTTGTTGGGGCTTTTAGTTTGCTTGTTTTTTGTTTATTGGTGTTCTTTACTCTGCACTGCTTACCAATTTCCTCATGTATCATCCTACTGAATCTGACCTGATATTCTGATGTTTTGCTTAGAGGTCCGTACTTACATAGTGTATTAGATGTCCTTAAGGCATGTATCTAGTGCAATATAAGCAGCCTGCTCTAACCTTGAGCCTAGTTGTGTGTTCAGCAGTGGGAGGATCAGGTATTCTGTGATTTACCTTATATTACACTCTTGTGAAAAGTTATGCATTGACTGTGGATAAATCCAGTTTAAATGGTGTGAGCCTAAGAATAGCTTGTTTCCACCTGGAGCAGGAAACATGTGCTATGTAAGTGTTAGGGTGTATGCCTGTTTCTAGGCCTAAAAGATTTAACGAGTCATTCTGAGTGGCATCTTTCAGGGTTTTCCCTTAAGGAAATTATAAGGGGATACACAAAATTATCTAAATATAGCCCATAAGTTAGAGATGGCACCTGAAGAAGAGTTGCTAGAAACTATTATGCAAATAATGCCTGTGTAGACACATTGGTAAAAGAACTAGAGCACCTGAAAACTGAGTTAATTGCATTATGTTTTCACTGAGGATCACTTATACAACCTGGCTTAGGTATACGGAAACAAGTCACATGGTAACTGAGGTAAACCTCTGTACCGTGTCTAAAGTTCATTGTTGTCCTTTCCCTGGCTTTGTGAAAGAGGCAGGGGTTCCCTGAGTAGAGAAGGCTTTCTTATGTATCTTGTTCAAGATCCTGTTTATGCTGAAAGGTCTGGTAACTGCCTCATCACCTTCTCCTAATCTTGGGCTTTTGTATGTCTTTTCACCACTGCAATATTTGCTTCATGCTAGTATGGTGAGTGAAGGGAAATAAATCTGACTGAAAGAAGTGGCTCTGCTTCAAGATGGCCACTACTTCTAAATATGGAAACATGATCTCGGAGTTTGAAACTACTGTGGCTCTCTAAAAGAGCACCTAGCAGAATGTGAGAGTCTAAGAATTCAAATACAATTATTGCATTAGATATATTTGTCAAAGAAGTAACACCTATGTTCTTCACTTCCAAATAAAGTTCTTGAGAGGTCTAACAAACAGGATTTAGATGAAGCAGCTTATTGAGGGTACAACACTTTCACTCCTAACTATAACAACCCGGTACTTTAAGCTTTACTTGATATCCATATCTGTAGTTTCTGAAGAACATGAATACTCTAGGCTGTAGTACTGCCTTCATGCATGCCAAGAAGTATCCTTGACAGCCTGCTTTCTTTTAGGTCTTTCATAAGAAATGTATGTTGATGTACTTGTTTCAGTTCCTTGATTCAGCCCTTTTCACCCTTTTTTTGAGACCCAAGACAGAGCATGTATTTTGTGGACACTGACTTTCCTCGTTTTAGTGACTTCAGTTGTTGCATTTACTTGACTAGGTGGGCTGCACTGTGGCTTGCTACACCCTCCTTCTAGTTGGATGTGGGAAATTGGGTGCTTGGACTGAGAGTAAATATTTCTTCTAGAGTCTAAGGTAGAACCTGAAACTTATTGAGGGAATGGATAGTGGCAAAGGACTGTGCACGCGCACATGTGTTTGTGTGTGTGCAGGAACTGAAATAATCTTAAAGTCTATCTTAGCTTCCTCATGCAACTACAGGTATGCATCAATGCACTCATATGTGTTTTAACTCTAAAGAGATTACTGCTGTTGCTGTAGTAATTTCTGAAATATTGTTTTTGAGCCACAGACTAGCTCGGCTTCTGTGAAGAAGCAGTATTTTGATAGTGGTCCCCGTGAGAAAGAGGTGTTGCTTCATATCAATTGGCAAAATAAATGCTGGCTAAAAAACCTAATTGCCTAGAGGTTATAGCATGGCAGATATAATCCAGAAGGAAATACAACCTCAGCAATTTTTCTTTCTTGGCTGTTACATCTTGCTTTTGTTACAGTTTTTTTATGAACTAGTATCTCTGACAAGTTCATGCAAATACTTTTTTGTTTGTTTGCTTAGCTGGCTTCTAACTCGGTAAGAAATTTCATTCTCTTGATCTTGAAAGGTATTCCTCAACTATGGTGATTCTGACTCTCTCAGCAAATATTTTACAGGGTATTTTTGTAGTTAGAGTCACATAGAATTTGTACAGCTCAGAGTACTCATTGTTCTAATACGTGGTTTATGGAACAGTACTTCTGGAACTAGGCGGGACTTGGTTTCTGTCCTCCTCACTTGCCCTACCTCCACTGGGGAATCTGCTAATTGTTTAATGAGTGTTATCTACAGTTCTTCTGTTTTTGTGAGTCTGAGACAGGGTAACCCTACTGGAAAGGAGCTGCAGGACTGCTAATGCAATTGCCTAGGCTTATTTTACAGACAGCCTATTCTCAAGGACAATTTTCTAATCCTCAAGAAAACTGTATCAGTACCAAATGTTTATACTGAGGTTGATTTTATTCTTCTGTATTATTTGATGATGAGGGGCAGAATAGACCCTCATTCTTGTAAGATCTGTCTTTGATTACAGAATCTCAAAAAAAATATTTTTCCAAATTGTCCCATGAATTCTTATAATAAGGCAAATTCACAGTGAATAGCTATACTGCAGAAAGATACACTTATCAAGTGTCCAAGTAGTCTTAACACAGCAGCAAGCAGGTGATGGCTCTGAAGATGGGGGGAAATGTAGGCAGGTTTTTCCCGTGTGGGAATTCTATACAGTTTTTCCAGACAGAGAACACACTCTCAAGGTCTTGCCTCCTTTGTCAGATCTCAGCAAAATCTTTTCAACACATTCACTGGAATGTTCCCTGAATGCTCTTTGAAAGATTAGTAATCAGCTCATAATCTTCCTAATTCTTGCTGCAAAGACACCTACAGTCAAACGGATAGAAACTAGAATTGTCTGAGAACTGCAGCAGGCTTTTCTTCTCAGAGGATTAAGACCTATTAGTTCTTGTACATATTCCATCAGAAGTGGTGTGTTTGGTTTTGTTTAGTTTTTTACACACAGAAAACTGTAAGAGGAATTTACAAGGATTTCTTTTCTTTAATGCTTACATTTCAAGTGAGAAGGGGAAGAATGATTAAACTTGATTAAAGCCAACTAGGGTGTGGCTTTGAGATGTCCTTTTTGACTATTATTACAATGACTTCAATGGGAGTATGCACTGTGGCAGCTTGTAAAAGACCAAGCAAAACTCAGTAATGGCTCTGCCATTCACAGGGCTTGTATTCAGAATTCAGTAGCAATTATCATGCCTTAGCTATCTTGGTAAGCAGTGATTTGATGTAGTCATCTTTTCCATGATTGTTTTAGTACGCATCTTTTTTCTGACTAGAGAAAAGTCATTGATAGATACAGTCTTAAATCTGCACAAAAGAATATAAAGGACTTGCTGAAGGGAAAAGAATACAAAAATATAAATGAAGCCTATAAAGAACTAATTTTGACAAAGTGTTGAACTAGACATTAATCTTGAACTTGATGAGCATGTTGACTGAACCTCTGACATGTGCAGCTATGTCTTCTACACTTAAAGTGACTACTCATGACTACAAACTGCACATTAGTGTGATTTCCCCAACTTAAACCTGAAAGTATTGATGCTATAGTCCATTAACGGTTTCTACAAGAACATAAGGGATTGTGCTAAGTTTTTATTCTCTGTAGCTAGAACTGGCAGTGCATAACTGCTTATGTGTGTGGCTTCGACAGAATGCCATAACTGGTACTCATCTTTAAGGGCCATCTTCCTAGAACTTGGAGACCTTATGTGTTAGGTATCCTACTGATATACTATGTATCCCATAGTATTCTGTTAAATAATACTGGTTAAAAACTAGTTTTGAAATGGAGGTAGTATGCTGGTCTAAATTAAAGAGCAGCAAAGGGATTGCCTTTGGAGTTGAAAAATAGAAAGGGACGAATGTCTTCAACATAGGATGATAACTTGCATGATACTTGCAAAGAGTACAAAAAAAGATTTCAGGTGGAGCTGTGTGGCCAGGCATGACTGTACTGTGAATGAAATACAAGGCATGTACGGGCCTGTCTATTGCCTTTGCTGTACTGGTATATTTCATGTGCTTTAGATCAGTCCTGGAAAAATAATAATATCACTAGAAGTATCTTTCAACAAGTTGCTAGTGAAGAAACTTATTCAAATGCAACAGGAGTAAGGGAGAATAGTGTGTCTGTGGTGCATTAACTGAAACGACTGAATTTTGCAGGCCAGATGAACATATTCTTGTTGGGTTCCCTTCCCCTTCTTACTTAGCTCAGCTGGGTAAAAATAGCAGATACAGCAGTACAGTCTATGTAAGATTAATAGGGACACTTCAGTTGTTGGCCTACACTAAAAGCCTGTACTTCTGCTTCTTCTTAGACTGAAGGACCTGGCTTATCTCTAGGCTGTATTCTCAACTTGCAAAAAATTGTTAGACTGTATCTACCACCTAGTCATCTGAATCTGTTCAGTTCTCTTTCTCTCTTAATCTGTCTCTGGTTCTAATGAAAGCCAGTAAATCAAAACTACATGTATTTTTTA